AAATTGGCTATTGCTACATTGCACAGGCTGGTCTCGAACTCCTGGGCTTAAGCAATCCATCTGTCTCAGAGTGCTAGGATTACAGGTGTGAGCCACCTTGCTGGGTCTGAGAAATATTTGCTTTTAAAAGTTATGACAACAGTATTTCTTGAGGACATGTGCATTTCACCATCAATAAACACGTGTACTCCCTTTTGCGAGGAGCACTGGGGTGTACCTCAATAGCCTCAGTCATCATGAAAATAAAGGGGCATGCGATTTTTTAAATTCAATATCACTGTTCGAACTTTGCCATCCTTCAGTATCTCCTGCTCTGTAGGATATCCTATATGGACTTATATCTACATTTCAGAATCTTACATAAAATGAATGACTCTGACAAAGCCTATCTAGAGGCACATTAAGTGACAAACAAAGACGGATGTACAAGGAAAAAAACAAAGCATTTAGAATAGGCTTTTCAAAACATGGGACCTCTGTCTAAAGTGGGTATTTATTCTTCATACAGGATTCCAGCTCAGCATTTTTAAATGGATAATAAAGCTCAGAGTCTTTCACACCATCAACAGAAGCGAGGCATCTCGCTCATAACTGGAAATTAGCTCCAATTTGTTTCAGTAAATTTTCTTCTTCAAATGATGGAATGTGGCTGCATGGGAAAATGGAGTCTATAACTGAATTATCTGTTATACTTAATATTCAGATAAATTCCTATAATGCTGCATTTGTACTTCCTTCTCTTTCTTTTTAATTGGCATAATTTCAAATCACATTATTAAATGAAAAGGCAGCTATCTATTTTAATTCTATAGCTATAGCAATGTTAAGTGATTTTATTTTTACTGATAGAAACACTGACACATCCTGAGGTGCACTTCCTGAAATGTACACCCTAATCTTTATTTATTTATTTTCTGGGCAGTAAATGAATCGAAGTAACTCAAAAATAGCTTCAGATTCAAATTCTCAGGCTTCCTTCATTTCCTTCTGGTTTCCTTATCTTTTAGCCCCTTAGGGGAAAACACTAAGAGAAATTTAAAAATCTTCACGTCTGCTCTTATTTTTCTTTTGAAATTCTCACTCTACCTTATACCTGGCATACAATAGAAAACATCTTTGTCATCTGAGTGCAAAATAAGTGAAAAAGTGTAATAATGAACTGGCAAGTACACAGAGCTACACCTGTTGCCGTAATTACACACAAATGTCAAAGAGCTTGACATTCAACATAACAGCACATCCCTGGTGTGAGCCTCTGCCAACATACAGAGATTCTGCTAGCGCTTGGGCCTTGGAGAGCTCATTTTGCCCGATGTGCAGAGTGATCCGAAGCAAAACCAATCAAACCCGCACAGATTCAAGGGCCACTGTTCTCCTCCCCAAATCCCTGTGGATTAATCTTGCTTTCCAAACGCTAACCAAAGTGCAGCCCAACTTCCAATATTAACAGAACCTATAGATCACAGACCTCCCTGCCGTGGGTCCACAGGGGTGCTGAGGTGTTTCCTTGAACAGAGCCAGCTGAAATTCTCTTCATTTCCAGTCCCCAAGCCTGACTGTATAAGACACTCATTTGCCTGGAAACCTGTAACTGGACGTTTTGTGAGTCTCAGACCATAAAACTGGTAATTAAATCTGTCCATCAAGGTCAAACACACATCCTTAAACAGGAACAATGTCATCCTGTTGGACCTAATCAGAAGAAATGACCTCTGACCTTTAACACTGACCTTTTTAACACAGCTAATGTATCAGACTCCAAGCCTATCATCCTAACAAATTTTATATGTTGTGATAACAAAAGTTTTCATAAAAGCTTCCCTGTGTTTCCACAGGACTTTTATTCTGGACTGTTTAAAAAGACTAGTAGTCCTACATTCATTCTATCACTACTGAAAAGTACAGAGATTCCAGAATAAGCATGACACAGAGTCAAAGCTGCTCTGTGCATCTTCACAACTGTAACCCCACTACCATCTCAATCCAAATTCTTTCTTCCTAAGACTCTGTTTTCAAGATACACCTTTAACATTTCATCAGTCACCAGTCATAGAGGCAAACCTTACTGTGGGTGAACTTTAAAACAACAATCTTATTACAGAGTTCTGATTATTTGTTGGAGTACCTAAACTTTGGAGGTAGACTTCTTAAGTTCTATATGAATTTACTGACTGCCTGGTATGTGTCCAGGTAGGCCCATAACAGATGTGACACTTGAGTCTTGGACAATAGGCTAGGTTTGGACACATAGACAGGAAAGAGGAGGATAGTCCAGAAATAGACATAGAGAAAGGGCAGAAACAGAGTCTGATGGGAGCAAAGGGCATGTGACAGCACAGAGTGGGGAATATGACAAGTGATGGGGAGGCAGGGTGAACTAAGAGCTTGTTATGTCATGGTAGGTTTCTAACTGTATCAAAAGGCAATCAGAGGCTTTGCCTATCACAGGCTTTCAGAAGGCTGGGCCCAGGAGTAATGCTAGTTTGAGCCACAAAGAGCAAACCCTTCGGTAAATATCAGAAAGCTCCATTTGTTGTATCGTAGAATAGGGCTTAAAAGACAAACAGAGATTTGAATTCTCAAAGGTTTCATTCATATTAGCTAATGTAAAAAACGCCAGCTTACAGTAATAGCAACACTGAGTTAAATAACATTAAATAGAAAGTCTAGGGTTTAAAAAATGCATACCTTAGCATGATGTAAATCTACCCCATACATGGACAATTTTTTGGCATTTTCCAAGAAATGCATCTCTGCTTCTGCTGGCGTCATCCCTCTGATGAGAAGAAAAATATGTTACAATGATGCTTTTCCCTTCTCTGTTAGGCTGTAAAACTTCCCACTTTGCTCTATGCTATATCATAAGAAGCAGTTCCCCTCACCTATCAGAGGAGAAGATATCAGAAGATACAGGAGAAAAGAATAACAAGAAAAAGGGCTTTGCAAGAAAGCACTACAAATGAATGCCTGGATGCTCTGAGTGAAAGCTTACCCATCTCACAGCTTGATCGTGCAGGGACCCACACTCTGCTCAAGTCTCGCCATTATTGGACTAAAATTAGTACTGGGAAGAGGTGGGTTGTCTGCAGGGCACTCACCCATCAAGGTACAACTTAAATGAACACACTTAGACAGCTTCTGCCTCTAACCTGTGGCTCTTGTGCAGCTCGATTACTTTGTCTTCCAGTTCTTTTGTGTGGTTTGGTGCAAAGCGGAACTCGCTAATGTAATCGCTCCCACATTCGTCTGGGTCATAGTCTCCGAGTTCTGACTGGACAGTGTAGGAGCCCAGCAAGGCCAGGGTAACGAAGGAGCAGGGCAGCCTTCCGGACACGATGTCATCTCGCAACTGCAAGCAGAGGTAGTACCTGCCAGGAACCAAAAGCACAACACAACGAAGGCCAGCATGAGGATACAGGAAAAGGAGATCGCTTGGTAAAAATTGTGCTAAGTAATTTCTCCCTGCAGAACAACCTCTCTAAGATACATTTTCTAGCATCTGTATACTTTGATATTTACTTCATACATATTTGTTCTAGACAGAAGGGAAAAATACTTGGTAACAAAAGATGGTACTTAAAGGCATCTAGAAGCAAGTCAATGTTCATAATAAAATGGGGTTTATTAATAAAGCACAGTCTAAAAGAAACGTAAAGATATATTCTTCTAACATCTTTTAAAATAACTTTTAAAATCAAATGAACAGTTCCCAAGATAGTCCCTGAAACCGTTGGGTGGGGGAATAATGTAAAAATGAGGCTTTTAAATACAGTTATGTGCCGCAAAACTATGTTGCAGTCAATGGCGGACTACATATATATATACATTATAATGGAGCTAAAAAATTCCTATTGCCTAGTGACATCACAGCTATCTTAATGTCATAACACATTTGTGGTGGAGCTGGTGTAAACAAACCTACTCATATAAAAGACTAGCACATACAATCATGTGCAAAACTTAATACTTGATAAAAATAACGAGTACATACTAGTTTATGTATTCACTACGCTATACTTTTTATCATCACTTTAGAGTTTACTCCTCCTACTTTTGAAAAACAAAAAGTTAACTGTAAAACAGCCTGTGACAGGAGCTTCACAAGGTATCAGAAGAAGGGATTGTTATCCTAAGAGATGACAGCTTCCCGTGTGTTACTGTCCCTGAAGACCTTCCAATGGGACAGGATGTGGAGGTGGAGACAGTGATACTGATGATCTTGACCCTGTGTAGGCCTAGGCTAATAATATATTTGTTTATGTCTCAAGTTTTTAAAGAAAGAGTTTTAAAGTAAGAACAAATTATAAATTTTAAAAATAGAAAAAAATGTACAGAATAAAGATATAAAGAAAATATTTTTGTGCACCTGTACAATGTGTGTTTTAAGTGAAGTGTTACTACAAGAGGCAAATGTTAAAAAAAATTAAAAAGTTTAAAAAGTAAAAAGGTTAATTTAAGTAAAAAGTAATTTTACTTAAATTACTTAATTTTACTTTAAATTTTTACTTAAATTTTACTTAAATTACTTAAATTTTACTTTAAAAATTACTTTCAAAAAGTAATTTTTACTTTTTTAAGTAAAAAGTAAGCTAAGGTTAATGTATTATTCAAGAAAGACATTTTTAAAACTAAATTGAAGGTAGCCTAAGTGTACAGTGTTATCGTACACTACTGTGGTCTTTATTACAAATGCTGTACACCTAGGCTATACGAGCGTACCATTAAAAACAATCTTTTATATTGTATTTTTTGTATGTTTTCTATATTTAGATATACAAATACTTACCATTCTGTAATAATTTCCTACAGTATTCAGTACAGTCACATGCTATACAGGTTTGTAGCCTAGAAGCAATGGGCTTTGTCATAGAACCCAGATGAACAGTAGGCTCTACCATTTAGCTTTGTGCAAGACCACCCTGGGATGTTCACACAACAATAAGATCATCTAAAGATCCATTTCTCAGAATGTATCTTCAGTGTTAATTGACATGACTGTAATTATTAGGCCCCAATTAGCCTTACGGAAGTCTCATTATGATATTAAGATGACAGGTCTTCCTATATGAGCAAAATAGATTTCAGGTAACTCAACAGCTATGTCATTATAAACTTTGCTCTCAATTTCCTGCATTCCTAATTAGGTAGTTTCTTTATAATAACACAATTTCTTCTGTTTTCAGTTCTCATTTTTAAAATTTAGGTAGCTTCTTAAAATCGATCTAAGATATAAAGAATTACTACCTTAAAATTTGAGAATCTTGTCACCATAATAGTTTTAAATTGGAGAAATTAACATTTTCCATATAATTTTGCCGTATCATAAAAATATGTTGATGTGTCTTCTCCATTATTTTGCTTTTAAGACTTACAGATAAATTACTAACTGCCAAAGACTTCAAGGTAAGTGTTAACATTGATGAGTTTTAAGAATCCGGATCACAGCCTAGAATATAAATAGAACAAAGCACACCTGCTATGTTTTAGATAAGAAATGAACTGTTCATCTACGGAAGCAGGACTATGATAAAGTCTTAAGGTCCCCTCTAGTTACGATTTTAGGCTGGTGACATAAGTAAATTCCATGTAACTCAGACAGAAAAAATCCTTAAACATTTAACAGGCTCTACAAATATTACCAGTGAATAGAAAGAAACCATGCACTCCATTTTCAAGTCCAGGTATATATGGGCTCTATAACCACAAATTAGCCAAAATAAAACTGTTCTTCAATAGCAACTAAAAAGTATCTTTAAATAAGAAATTATATAAATTTTCTCTGATTTATTGCAAATATTAAAAAATTCTCTGAAACTAATTTTTAATCTTCTCTTAATATGTCTGGTGAAATTATTTTTAACTGTAGCAAGTGATTGAAGCTGTTTTGAGTAATTTCTCTTTTCTGTAAAGCCCTCCAAAAAGAATACAAAGCTTAGGCAGAAAATTCTACACACACTGCACCAAATTGTTTTGACTGGTTATAAACTTACTACACCAAGCTCAGCAAGAGAGTAGGGGTTCTAAGGTGAATGTAGAGAAGCCTAGGGGGTCAGAGCACGCTGGGAACAATGAACTGAGTGTCTGTTGCCCCTTCCCCTCCAAATCCGTATGTTCAAATCCTACCCTTAAGGTGATGGGATCACAAGGTAGGGGTCTCTGGAAAGCTATTAGGGTGCAGCCCTCATGAATGGGATTAGTGCCCTTATAAAAAAGGCTGGAGAGAGACTTCCTCACCCTTTCACCACATGAGGACACAGTAAGAAGTCAGCATCCTGCAACCTGGAAGCACATCCTCACCAGGACCTGACCTGCGGGCACCCTGATCTCAATTTCCCAGTCTCCAGAACAGTGAGAAATAAGTTTCTATTGTTTATTAACCACCCAGTTTGTGGTATTTTGTTATAGCAGCCCAGACTAAGACATCCAGTACAGCTTTATAATGAGATCCTTTTTCACACTCAACTCAGTTACCAAACGGAAATATTTTTATGTTCGATTCCTTTCTTAATATCTTCTTTCTAGAAAACAATCATTTTCCTTTACACAAGATGTAGAAAGTAAACATTCAAATTTATGTGCATATGTGTTGGTTATATAAAAAGCATAAGCATCCAAGGACATTTTTACTCTAAATATTAAAGCAGAAAAACTAAGAAGTGCTGTATCATACAAGGCTAACTCCCATCCAATTTTACTATCGTGGGTGGATGATAGTATCTCAATTCTGCATGTTTTCCCACCAGGGTCAGGCAGAGGGAATATCAGCCTGGCACCAAAGATTCAACTGTGAAAATATAGGATTTGGCAAATCTTCTCATCAGATGTTTAGTCTCGTTCATTTGCCTTTTGTTTGCCATTTGAGCGTGGCTGATTGTAAGGCTACCAGATGTAAGCACACTCCTCTCTGGGGCATTTAAGAGAAGCACAACTCTCCCAATAACGCTTGTCTTTTGCATAGCCAACTTTCAAATACCTGGTGATATCTTCAGATAGCTGGGCAGGGTCTGGTGGATAGAATTTTACATTGAAAGAAAAGTGCCAAGCACCACCTGCGAGGATGGAAAAAAATTCGAGTGAAACCTCAAGAAAATCTTATGATTCCAATTGATAGCCAGAACTGCCTTAACTCCAAACATTAACATCCAGGCAACTTTTGATCATCAATGAAAAACTGGGAAATCTTGGTTATATGAAATATATAGATAAGTCTGAAACCTCGCCTAATTTCTAATCTTCTCCCCAATGAAATCCTTTATTGGTACTTTTAAGTAGCAAGGAAACTGATCAAACTTCCCACCTCTTTCAGAATCAAAGGTCAGCACTTGGAAGAGGAAAAAAAACGTGAATGATACGAATAATTTTCAATCAGGGAAATCTGCAAGTGGCTGGATTTATTGCTGCGAATTTCTGGACAGCTCACAGACCAACACTACAAACATAATTCCCATTTTCTTTGTCCTTTCTGCTTTGTTATTGTAGGTCAAATCCAATTATAGTAAATCCAAGGGAATATTAAACATAGATTTATTTTGTGAGAAAGGTTTGTTGCAGTGAACAGTGTTCTAGTAAGTGGGCTGCTCTGTGGGCTGTTGAAAATTCTTTTCTTGCTCAGGAAAATTTTTGATGAAATAGGTACTTGAATGTATTTATTGTACATTGCCAAATTTTGCACCTGCACCTCCTTAGCCTGAGTCTTAGCCGGATCCTCTTTCTGCTTTGCCATCTTTATCCTGTGGCCTTTACTCAAGGCCTCTCCAGCACTGAAAAGGGTCAACCAGGAGTCAGCTCACCAGTGTCTACTCTCTGTATTGTAAACACGTATCTTTGAAACATTATGAAGTCTTAACTAAGCTCCACATCTCATTAATACTACTTCTAATTATATATGGTTTATCAATATAAATGTGGAAAACACCCTTTTCTTTTTTTCTACATTTACTATGTGATCATTACTTTAACTTGTATTCACTCTGTTCTGGCTTTTAAATGCAGCAATTGACCAAAGTCTGGGTATTCCTCCTCTTCGGTGCTGTTTATATTTGTTCCCTCTACCCAAGAAGGACACTAAAAGTACCAGAGCCTAGGTACTGCTTGTATTTTGAATTGTTTACTGAAAAGTTCCTCCCAGTCCTCCAGCTTCCACTCTGGAGGTCTTTCATTCACGCCTCACCCAGTGGCCGCTGACTTGCCTTTACTCTAGGATTCTGATTCTGTGACTTCACAGTCTGCCCCTTTTGCTTCCAACAGTCTTCTAAGACTTCCAAATCTCCCTGTCTCTCCATTGAATGACTTCTGGACACTCCATTGTTCCATGAGCCTTTCCCAAACATTCAGAAGAAGGCACGGTACTGTATTTCCTAGCTCCTTTCTCTGCACTGTTCACCTGCATCAGAGGCAATACTTAGCTTCATCACTTTCTAACGCTTTGTCACAAATGGCATAAATCCATGTATTAGTTATAGTTTATTCTTGACACTATCGTTGACATCACATTTAAGATTCCACATGGCAGGGACTCTACCTGAGGTGCTCTATAAAGGATTTAGTACAGGACCAGGCATTACTGGGGGCTTATTATCATTTTTAAACCACTCAAAATATATCTGTCAGTCAAATATATTTTAGTGACTGTTCTTCCCACTGTTCTCAAAAAACTCCTTTTGTTTTTCCAAAAATAGTCTCAATTGGTTTTATTTTCTTATTTATTCCTACTCATTTCCTATTAAAATAGATCCCCTTAATGCTTGCCAATGGTAAGGTTCATAATGAGTGCTGGCTTTCCCCCAAGAAAGTGAAATTAAAACTAATGGATTAGTTATGGGAAATGGATTTATTACTCTTTTATAATTTTTATTCACATCAAAGCAGGCCTTGAATCCAATGAATAGTTTATCAATGTAATTAAACAATCTTATAATAAATGTCCAAGTTAGACACTAATAAGTAATAAAAATATAGGAAAGACATTTAATGCAAAAATCCTCATTCTAGGAAGGCAAGTTTCAAACTACAGTGAGCGAAGAAATACCTGAGGTACCTGTTAAAAATGCCAATTCCCAGGCTCCACCCCAGGGATTTTTATTCCAGAGATTTTGAATACGGCCTGCAAAATTATGGCTTAAATAAGTTCCCTCATGGTTCTAATAATAAAAATGGGCTTTGGAAGCACGCTTTAAAAAATCACTACTACTAAGGAATCCACTTCCCTAAAATACATCTTTCAGGACAGTATTTTGAAACAATGAGAAAGTGTACAAAAACTATAATACAATCTACATCCCAATCAAGAAAAAAAGAGTCCAGTTAAATGAGGCATAAAACTGGAAATTAATGAGAGAGGCAGATTAAAGCTCAAATACATGTCCTCATAAAGAATGTGACAAAAACAAATCCACTGAGAAGGAAGTGCTTATGCAATAAATAAGCTTGCAACTCTATATTTGCTGAAATGAGGGCCCTAGTTAGAAAGAGGAAATGGAACAGCTTGAAGACATTAACAGGAATACTTCTATAATGCTGATGTGGAATTTTAAGTTACAAATTTACGATAAATAGAAAATAGTAGCACTGATGATAGTTCATTCTTATGAAAAATTTCTAATGTTAGTCTTTTATGACAGCCAAATCTTAAAATTTCTAATATACTGCATTTATACCATAAAAGTATGATATATGCCTTATATCACAAAGGAACTATATCATGAATATACTTAAAATCACAAAATATAGTGTATTTAGAAATTTAAAGATCCAGCATGCATGAAAGATTCCTGGAATAAGAATTTTTTCCATAAAAACTCTTCAGTTTCAGAATTTTCTGTTTTTTTTTTAGAAGCAGGGTCTCACTCTGACACCCACATTAGAGTACAGTGGCATAATCATAGCTCACTGCAGCCTTAAACTCCTAGGCTCAAGTATCCAGCCCTCTTAGTCTCCCCAGTAGTGACTAACTACAGGCATGTGTCTCTGAGCTCAGCTACTTAAAACAATTTTTTTAAAAAAATAGAGACAGGGTGTCCCTATGTTACCCAGGCTGGTCTTGAACTTCTGGCCCCAAGTGATCCTCCTGTCTTAGCCTCCCAAAGAACTGGAATTACAGGCATGAAGTTTTAGAATTTTCTATTAATCATAAAGTTGGACTTAAAATATTTGTTAGCTTGGTTTCCATTTTCTTAAAGATCTAATTCTAAAGGAACACTGTGAGCCCACAGCAGAAAAAGCATGGAAACATCCTTTTATCATTTATATTTTGGAAGAGGAGGTAATGGTACAGTAATTACATTAGATGTGGTAATACTTCTCTGCCTTGGTTGAATGTAAATTTTGTGGTAAGAGGGTATTTTAGTGGATGGGAAACAACAAAGAATACAGATAAAAATACCAAATCCCATTTTTAAAGAAATTCCAATTTTCCTTGTCTCCTTTATCTGCAAGACTGTCAGTTTTCTTTATGGCAAAGTCATATACACTGCCTAATTTGCATGATGAAAAAAATCCTTTAAATCTCTTGTTTTGATTGTCTTGTCCCTTTAGCTTTCTTCTCTTTGAAAGGAAGGTAGAAGACAGTATAAATGGGAAGTTAAAGAAAAAATGAATTCTATTAATAAGAAAAAAGAAAATTAGACAGTTTATACAGCCTTTCTTGTCATGGTATTATGACTTATCCTTGAACATTTTATATATTTTCAAAGTGCTCTGCAATTATTAATCAGCTCAGTATTCCATTAATTAGATGAATAAGAGAACTTTATGCACACAAAATGTTATGATATCTATTCAGCATGTCTGCTTTAATAACTAATAATTCTTAGAAAAATATTTATCTTACATTTTTTCTTAGGAGTCCTCAGAACAAAAAATAAGTAATGTTTTCACCTATTTATCATAACTACAGCTATCCCTGTTTTCTATCTCAATTAACTATTTCTATTAACCTAATTTGTTATCAAGTTTCTGATTAGTGGATATATATAATCTTCCTCAAACATATGGTAAAGATGTCTAAATTGTACAAATAATCAGCTGACTCTCTTATATCTAGATGTATGGTTATACTTTTGTCTTTCTGGAACATTATCATACTGAACCATTTCCAAACTGCTCACTACTAATTATGTTTTATTAGTACTTGGAGTATTATTCTGATAGCTCAGGACTTTCATAGGCACTAAGAAGTATTTGCTTGCTCTTTTAATAGGAAGCTACTGAAAACTTACTTATTGAAGTGGGAATGATGTTCTTATTAATAAACTGCTCTTAAATGTATCCTTTAGCTAAAATTAGTTGTTCGGAAAAATTTAGATTTTATTGACAAAAAAATATGAATAAAACATAGTTATTTTAAATTACAAAGAGCATCCATGTTTGTGGCAAAAATAAGAACTACAGCAAGGGTAAAAAGTTTTAAAAGCTCCTCTTTCTCAACCCCTACTTTCACGGAATGATACTTCTGGAGTAATTACTATTAAAATCTTCCTGCCTTCCAAAAGTTTTCCATGCATCTATACAAACATAATTTTTTAAAAAAACAAATGTGATTATGCTATAGATAATATTCCACAAACTGATTTTCACTAAGGAGCACTAAGACGTATTTATATGGCTATTCCACGATTGACGTAATAATTTCTTTATACATGGATAATCAAGTTGCTTCTAGTTTTCTGCAACTGTAAATAGTATTAATTATAATGAACCTTCATTTTCTATACAAATGCACATTTTCCTCCTTAATACATATGCTGAATAAATTTCCACAAGTGAAATTAAGGGTCAAAGAGTAAGTACAGCTTAAATTCTAGTAAATACTGACAAATTGCCCTCTGAAAGGATTGAACCAATTTATTCTACCAATTGGGTAAATAAGTGCTATAGTTTATTATTAAACCTTAATTCTTTGTTAACCTGAATAGCTGAAAAATGATTTATCATTTTAATTTGCATTAAATCATTAGTAAAATTTAGCAACTTGTTTAATATTAATTAGCTACGTGTATTTCAAATTTGTGAGTTGCTCCTGCAATTGCTTGGTCCATTAAATCATGTAATTTTAAAATTGCCTTTAGGGGACTAAGAAACATTGTTACCAGACAGTAAACTTCAGTTTGACTTGTTTGATTCAAGTCAAAGCTATGAAATGATTATGACTTTTATGTAGCCTTTCATACTTTTGTGACTGTTGTAACATTAATAATTCAGTTTGGAACTTTTAAATGGTTAATTGCCAATTCGAACATCAGTTGATTACATCATATACTTGACATCTATTCACAGGCAGAGGAACAGGTCAAGTATCATGTTCCTTTTAAATCCCAAGTTGTGACAATTATAAAATAAGTACTATCTGAACTGCTAGGCCAAATTTGAGACAAGAAAAGTTTGTAGTCACACTAGCCATTTAAGTATGGGCTACCAATTCAGACAACTCGCTCTCTGAAAACCTTCACATTTCCACAAAAAATAATCCAAAAGAACTTACTTCGAACCTGTTTTTTAATTTCCTTAGCAGGGTCCAACCAATTCTGAAAAGGAAATGACATTTTGAATTTGAATCAGAGGAGAATAAAAATGACTTAATGTTGAATAGGTACAGACTCGCCCTAAATGCAGTGAGGAGTCAGTGGTCCTGGGACAACTTCCCTCGCTGTGGTCCTTCCCCCATATATGGTGCCCCTCTGCCAAGCCCTCCAAGGGCCCAGGCACTGGTCTAATGAGAAAATGTACATGTGTGCAGTTTGGACCTGACAAAAGCCTTTTTCTTATATAACCATTGCCTTCAGAGATTCAAGGTAGCACAGAAACAGAGAAGAAAAGGCAGAAGATTCTATATGTAAACAAGTTACTAGGATAAATTAAAAATATATATGTAACTGGGTACACTGATGTCCTAGCCACTTAGTTTCACATTAGAGACCTCTGCAATGAAAGATTCTTAGGCATCTACCTAGGACATTTCCCTAACAAATGAACACTTGCTTGTGATTTGTGATTTTCCTCACTGGTAAAATCAGATGTTTAAAATAAAGTTACACATTGTCTGGCGAATTCAGGAGGTATTAAGTATGGCTTATGGCACAACACCAAAATGGGTAATCTATGAGCAGAATTTCTGACTCAGCTTCTCATATCAGTGCAATGGAAATGATTTCTTTTTCTGTATTTCTCAGGTAGTTGTGGGGATTAAGGAGATACAGCCCTGAACAGAGTCTACAGAGGTATTGCATAAAACATCTACTAAACACATCAGACAAGTGTCAGGTCAGTGTACAATCCACCTCATATTCTGATTCAGAAACAATATGAAAGCATAAAAAGATGAATGAAAAATAGGGCAGCACCAATAATAAACTTCCCTGACAGTTTATGGGTTACAACCATAACAGCTTCATAGAATTTTGGGATATGAACATGATTTTTACATAAATATCAATTGATTTTCATTGGTTCAAATAATCTACTGAAATACATTACCCCATCGAAAAGGCACTACATAAAATGATTTCTAGAAACCACAAATAACTCAAGCATGAAAAACAAGAGTTCATTTACTGTTAACAGAATATTCAAGATTAAAGGAAGCTGCCAGTGATCTCCTTTATCGAGAAATAGATGATTAACAGCATTTACAGACTCAAAGTAGAAAATGTGGGAGTATGAAGGGAGGTGAAGAAGGTGATCCACCCATTCAGTCTCAGTTCATTTGCCAGCAGAAATGAGCAGTTCAAGTCATCTTATTTTGCACTGCTTTTGATCACTCACCTTCTGGTTTTCAGCATCTCGATACGTAAGCCCAAAGTAGTCTTTCTCTAGCAAGTTCAAGTGTTCACATACTTTATCAAACAGCACTTGTCCTCTGGAGCGTTTCTACAGGAAACAGAACAGAAAAGCAAGTCAACACACAAAGAAAGTTCTCCCAATTGCCATAGATAAAACCATGGAATATTTAAAACATTGCATGGTGTAACTTCAGTGAGTGATCAATGAGCGTGAGCACACTGTCATCTCCTGTTTAAGTGGAAAAAGGGCCTAAAAAAGGGGGGGGGGTTCAACCTACAAAAGCCCACCCACCCCTACAAATAAACGAAAACAAAGTATCAAGATGTAGGTACTTAGTATGTACAGGTGACCAGTGCGTGATTTCTAAATAGAAGCAATTGGGGAAAATAATGTGATGCTTGGAAGCCTAAATACGTGAAATAGAAAAATCTTGACTGTGAAAGAACATACATCAAACTAACAAAAGCCATACTGCAGAGCGCCCTAACTCAATTCTCTATATCAGAGGTCCTCAACCCCCTGGCTGTGGACGGGTACTGGTCCATGGTCTGTTAGGAACAGGGGTGCACAGCAGGAGGTGAGTGGCAGGCTAGCAAGCATTACGTCCTGAGCTCCGCCTCATGTCACATCAGTGGCAGAGTTTGATTCTCACAGGAACAAGAACCCTATTGTGAACTGTGCATGCGAGGGATCTAGGTTGCATGCTCCCTATGAGAATCTAATGCCTCATGATCTGAGGTGGATCAGTGTCATCCCAAAACCATTCTCCATCCCAGTCCATGGGAAAAAATTGTCTTCCATGAAACTGGTCCCTGGTGTCAAAAAGGTTGGGGACCGTAGCTCTATGTGATAAAATTTGTGACTCTGAGAAGAATTAACTCTGCTCCTTTGTCTTAGGCAGACTCTCACTTAGACTTTCTATCCCAAATCCTTACATAGAAATTCTAAGGACCACTTTCTAAAAAAACATTAAACAAATTTAATTATTTTTGTTTTTTCTTTTGTCACAAATTTCAGTTTTGAACAGTTTTTCTCTTAAATTTTTTGAGAGCAAATCCTTATTAAACATAACAAAACATTAAGAATACTTATTATATATAAATACAAAATAAAGATATATGAGCTATATTTCTGACCATCAAGGAGGCATCTGGAGAAAAAAAAACGTAGTCATTTGGAAAATAATTCATCAGCTTAATTTATTGTGATGTATCATTTTTTAATCTAATCCTTCAAAGGCCTTTAAACATAGTCATGAGGTCTGTGATGAATTAACTGGCAACAAATAAATGAAACCAGTTTTTTGTTTGTATGGTACTAACATTTTCCATCTAATACATTAGGCATATTTGTCTTTAAGATTTAATATAACAGCAATGAGAAATATGAAATTGATCAACTATGTTTATGCCAAAATAATAAGCATTCAAAAGACCTGTAAGTGGTGTGTTGTGTTACTGTGCAGCTGTAATTATGCTGAAAGCAATTACTCAGTCCCCTCAAGCATGACTATTTAGGAGAAAAGGCAAATTTATGATAGAAAAGTAAGGCCTAAATTGTAGCTAGCTAAATAATCGATGATGTATTTGGAAAAAACAGTTCCATAAAGTGTTATGAAAATAAATTACTTGTTAGAAAAACTACATAATAACATTGCTCATTGGCTATAAATAAATATTACAACAATGAAGTACCTGCTTGCTGGCTTAAATCATTTATTTATAAATAACAGCATATTATCATTGAATAATGCTTTATAAATTATGAAGTTTTCATAAAAATTGGTTCTTCTGATGCTTCTAACTGGTATAATCTCCAGTTCACAGATAAGAAGGGAGGTTCAAAGCAGTTGGGTGAGAGAGGCAGTCTTACATGATGACCTGGGAAATGGCTTTAGAATCGGGTAAACCTGGGCTTGAATCTTCAGGATGTCCCTTGCAGCTATGTAAAATGACACTACTTACTTCTTTGGAATAGCTGACACTAAAATAAAATCATGTATTCCAACGTGGTCCAGTGGTGGCATATATTAAGCATTCCATAGATGTCTGCTATTATTATGGCCTGGTGGCTGATAAACGGTAGAATAACTAACGTAGAACAGATTATTATGCACGTTTCTACAGGAGCACATATCCAGCTCCTGGTAGCACCAAGAAGTAGCTTTATAATTAACATGTCCCACTTTTTAGATATGAAATGCCTGCTGCTTACCATCTAATTGCTTTAGCTACACCACTTTCTTCTTTTTTTACTTACATACACACAGCATAGAAAAATACACATCAGTGTCTGGCAAATACTTTCTCAATGAGTAAATAAAAAAAAACAAAACAAATGCAAATACAAAAACTTTTCTGTACAAGGCTTCACTTGACCCTACGCCTATATTCTCTGACCCAAGAGACCACAGCCAGTCATCAACAGAGGAATCGTTTCAGAATATGTTGCAGGCTGCCCTGACCATCTTTTCAATGTGCCACCTCCAGGCTGCTGTGTTGTTTCCTTTGTCTAACAGGTGGCATGGCTTAGTTCAAGCACACACTGTTATGCTACCTTGCACTCACTTTTCTGGTTCCTTGAAATCTGATTTCTATTAATGAGTCCCACCTTTCTTTTGAATAGACCAGATCTTTTCTTACTGAATATTTTAAACACAGTTTTAAATACAATGACTATTAGTCCACAATGGAGATTTATTTTTTCAAGCCCTTAGAGCTGAGACCAGTTGTCTGGGTATCAACTGTAGATGGTTGTATCACGGGATGGAAGCAATGAAATTCTTACCTGGTAAACATCAGCATGGCCACCAGCCAGCTGGGTGACTTACGAAAAGGCTTTTAAGTTATTTGGGCCTCCATTTTCTCATCCTTGAGCGGGGATGTAAGATTCTACTGAGCAAGATGTTTATGGGCTTGAGGCTCTACCTGGGCCTCCCTTTGCAAACCACTAATGGATTGAGGCTCTCTCATCCATTGCACCCAGATGGAGCATCAGCACCCTTCTGCACATCGTGATGAGAGAAAGCTGCTGCCAATGGATGGAGGTGGGACATGACATGAAGTTTATTTTGCAGCCCTGGACTGGATCCCTTCTCTCTCAACTCTAAAAATGTCTTGATTCTTCTAACCCAGAAGATTTTTTCTTTCTAGTATATTATTCAACTTTTCAAGTCAGCTATTTGTACTTGTTGATACCTACATGTACCTGCAGGTAATAATGCTTACTATACGACTAAATATCAACAATCAATAAGACTGGAAATTTTGTTGAAATTATGCTTTGTTCCCAAAGACATGTTGTTCATTAACTGATCAAGTCTAGGTATCTTACTATCATTGTGTGTGGTTATATGCTACACTATGAGTCAAAAACTGAGTAAATTTTTATAAAATGGATAGAGGCATTCTAAACTAATGGATAGTTTACCTAATCAGAAAAGACTAAGATTTTAATCTTATAGTTCTTTGTGACTGGTTAAGTCATCTCTGACTCAAAGGCATTTACAGTTTGCTTATACTATTCAGCATGATATCATCTCCAAAGCGTGACTTTAGTTTCCCAGAGTAACAAACTAAAGGTGGCTTGCCTTCTTTGGAGTTCCCCTGACAAATTGCATTTCTGTGTCTGATAGAGTAAATGGACATACTGCAGTCCAACAATCAGGAAAGCTTTAAATGAAATGTCCTAAAACATGGCACATCTCCAAGCAACTTAAACAAGTTTCATAACTGTTTGAATTTTTTCTTTAATTAAAAAAATGTCCAAATTGATTCATGAAATTGTTGGTGTTGGGAGAAGTCTGTCAAAAAAGAACTTAAAGAGAATGAAAAGTCAAGCCAGAGCTGGCTGAAAATATTTGCAAAACACATATCTGATAAAGAACTGGTATCCAAGATATACAAAGAACTCTTAAAGCACAACAAGAAAACAACCCAATTTAAAAACGGGCAAAATATTTGAACTGACACCTTACCGAAGAAGATACACAGATAGCAAATAAGCATATGAAAAGATGTTCCACACTCTCTGTCATTAGAGAACTGCAAATCAAAACAACAGTGAGAAACCACCACACATATGTTAGAACGGCTAAAATCCAGAACAATAAAAACACCAAGTGCTGATGAGGATGTGGAGCGACAGGAACTCTTCTTATTCATCGTTGATGAGAATGCAAAATGGTAGAGCAATTCTGGAAGACAGTTTGGCAGTTTTTTACAAAACTAAACCTATTCTTGAAGTATTCACCAATCATGCTCCTTGGTATCTATCCAAATGAGTTGAAAACTTATGTTCACTCAAAAACTTGTACACAAATGTTTATAACATCTTTATTCATAACTGCCAAACCTTGGAAGCAACCAAGAAGTCCTTCTTTATGCGAATGAAGACACAAACTGTGGTGCATCCAGATGAAATAATGTTCATTGATAAAAGAAAAAATAAGCTATTAAGATATGAAAGAACATTAAATGCATACTACTAGGTGAAAGAAGTTCATCTGAAAAGGATGCATACTGTATGATTCCAACTATGGTAGTCCCCCGTTATCCATGGGATTTTATGTTCCAAGGCCCCTAGCAGATACCTAGAACTACAGACAGTACCAAACGCTATATATTTTGTTTCTTCCTATACAGATATACTTATGATAAAGTTTAATGTATAAAATAGGCACAGTAAGAGATTAAAAATCACAGTAGTAAGACAGAATAATTAAAAAATATACTGTAATAAAGCTTATGTGAATGCGGTCTCTCTCTCTCCCTCAAAATACCTTATTGTATGAAACTCATCTGTTTCCAGAAGTGAGACTGCAGATAATAGTGGGGGGGGGGACTATTGTACATACCATCCTGGAAAAGGCAAAACTAAGTAAGGGGTTGGCAAAACGACCAGTGGTTGCCAGGGGTTTGGGAGTAGGGAGGGATAAATAGGTGGCCAACAGGGAATTTTGGGGACAGTGAAACTGTCCATTATCTGTATGAGAATGTAATGGTGGACAGATGACATTCTATATTTGTCAAAACCCACAGGATATAGAGCACAAAGAATAAACTCTAATGTAAACTATGAACTTTAGT